ATTGGTATTGGCCAGGCGTGAGACCTTGGGGAGGTCTTTGCCTTCCCTACGCTGAGCGCGGGTTCAGTACGCTGGACGCGTGAGACTCCTGAGAGTCTCTACCTTCGTTTGTGCTAGGCACAATTGGTATTGCGTCGGGCGCGTTTGAGCCTTGGAGCTCTCTAGTTGGTCCACGCCGGGCGTGAGTACTCCTGCGCCAGGTGCGAATGTGTTCTTTCTTTAATATGCTGATATATGCTGATATATGTTGGTATATGCTGATTTAAGCTGTTAATGATGAATGTTGTTGAGCTGAGTGATGATTGTGTTGTGCTGTGAGATGTTCATGCAGAATTATGATGTTTAAGCTATATTGTTGAAAAAGTTGAGTTGTGTCGTATGTTGTTAATGCTGCTATGTTGTGCTGTGCTGAATGCTGAATATAAATTGTTGTAGGCCGTAAGGCTGAGCTGTTGTAGGCCATAAGGCTGAGCTGTTGTAGGCCGTAAGGTTGAGCTGTTATAGGCCGTAAGGCTGAGCTGTTATAGGCCGTAAGGTTGAGCTGTTATAGGCTGTAAGACTGAGCTGTTGTAGGCCGTAAGGCTGAGCTGTTATAGGCCGTAAGGTTGAGCTGTTGTAGGCTGTAAGGCTGAGCTATTGTAGGCCGTAAGGCTTAGCTATTGTAGGAGATCTCCGAGCTGATATGCGTGACAACGCATTGTTTGTTTAATGTTGTTTTTTCTTAATGATGTGAGTTGTATATGTGATGTGTTGTATGCTGATCTTGCTGAACTTAATGATGTGTTGATAAGCTGTAGCTGTTTATAATTTCTGTATTTATATATATATGTTGATTCTTTTCACTAGCTTACCCTTGTTGTTTCCATGTGGTTTGGACTGCAATGATCATACTGTGTATCAGAGCAGAGCACGGATAGGTTGGTGTATTGAGGCAGGTTTGCAGCTGGCAGATGGAGCTGATGTTTGTTATTTTTGGCTACTTAGTGTAGCTATTTTGATGTATTTTGTACATTGATTTGAGCCCCAAGCAAGACATATGTGTATATACTTTATTTTTATATATGTATGCTCTATTATGTAGGCATGGAAATCTAACCCGCCCCCGTGGATACCCGCCCGAACCCGCCCCGATTTGGATGGAGAAAACTCGTACTGTTAAAGCAATTTGGACGGAAAGTCCCACATTGAAACCAATTAATTAATTTAGGACTAAATTGAAACCAATTAATTAATTTGGGATCAAATTGAGGCAAAAAATTAATGAAGCACTAAATTAAAACAAAAAAAGATTATAAGGGACAAAAAAGGGTTTTAACCTTTTTTTAATGTTCAAAAACTACCAAAATCTCTGTAAAAGACGGGCCAATTGTATTCGAGGCAAGTCATACCCAACTACGATATGGGCTTTTTAGCCCAAATAAAGGAGCGCCCGCAAAATGATGAAAATACTAAAATAGCCTCATCGGAGACTTGGTTGGACGGAGACGAATTGTGCGAAGAAATGTCAAGTGAGGTAGATGGCATTGCAGAAGAACAAGGAAGAGCTCTTCTCGGCCATAATTATGATTCCTCAATTCCCATCGTCCATCAAAATGAAGACACTATCTTTCCTTTGCCATTCCATCATACAAATACATCATCTTTACCCTCTCTTTCTGTTCCTAATCAACGTCTTGCTTCTCTCGATGTCTTCCGCGGTCTAACGATTGCGGTTCGTTCCCACCGTTTCCTTCATCACTTCAATTGTTTCATGTTTATTACTTCCAAACCGCCACCAAGTGAATACAGTTCTTCTTAGTTGTCAATGAATAAATACTAACAAAATTGGCTTAGCATTAAATCATTAATTACTATCTTGTGATTTTGCTTATTAATCTGCTTTGCAATAAGTGGGAGGACAAAACTTATATACTCTACCTATGATACTGTTAGTGCTGTTGTCTAATTGGTATGATCATACGCGTTGATATTTAATGAAATTCTTATGCATATTGAGAGTGTTGTTCTCTAATCAAAATGATAATAGGGCATCGATATTTAATGAAATTTAATGAAATTTTTTATGATGTATATTAACGATGTGAAATTCTAATTTTAATTAGGGTGTAACATTGATAGCACTTATGATACTGCATGTAAATGAATCTCAAATTTAAATGAATCTCAATTTTTTGACGCAGTTGATGATATTAGTTGACAATGTGGGAAGAGCTTTCCCATCCTTGAATCATTCTCCATGGTTTGGGATGACACTAGCCGATTTTGTAATGCCGTTTTTTCTATTTGTGGTTGGCGTTTCTATTGGTCTGGTATTCAAGGTATGAAATCGTCCAAATCCCGTTCCTGCCTTTTTTAACTGCTCCAGCTCCTTAAGGATACTATCTTATGCTGAAATTGTGTGTAGATCACTTGAGGAGTGGTGTTTTGGACTATGGACACTGTAAAGTTATATATTAGTGACTTTCTTGTATATGGACTTACAAATAATGAAAGAACCATAATTTTGAACAATGTTCTAATTCTTGGATACCCTTTCAGAAAGTCTCTAGAAAATCCAATGCCACGAAAAAAGTTGTATTTAGGACAATTAAGCTTTTCCTTTTGGGGTTGATACTTCAAGGTATGTTCACCTGCTTTTCTTCCATTTCATTGCCTTTGCAACCAGTTGAAACTTGTCGGGCAAAATTCTCTTGTATTCTTTTGTGCATCTTGTTATCCATAGTAATTAAATCCAGGTTTTGTAGCTGTGTAATTGCACAAACTCTCCCTCCCTCTCACTCTCTCTCTCCACATATATACACACACACGGATATATGAATGCATAACTGATGCAATTGATATCCATTGCTTTAATGTTTCTATCTGAAAATTATTCATAGGTGGGTATTTCCATGGGCGTGGTAAATTAACATATGGAGTTGATTTGAGCAAGATACGCTGGCTTGGTGTACTCCAGGTAGCGTAACCAGTAAAGTTGTTAACCATTACTGCCTAACTTATTAGGGTTTTTTCTTTGGGTTATTTCTACAATTCTAATTCAATAGGTCTGGTATTATTATTGTACATGTTATTTTCTATATGATTTACTTCATGCCCCTGATAATTACCACTTTCACTGATGCTTTTTGAAATCACTTATCTGTTTGATCATGGCTAACAAGTGACTTGCACTTAACATCTTTATGGTGTCACCTCTTGGCAGTTGTCAATTATTGAGGAAGTGTATGCAAAGTTTTCTCGATAATGTTTTAACTTGATGGTTACAAATTTGCTATAAGTAGAAGATTCATTTAGTCATTGAAATTGGTTGTACTGTTACAGGGGATAGATAAATGAAAAAAGGTCACAGTTAAGAAAATAATGAATTACCTGCTGGAGTGATAAGAAGGGAGTGGATTCGAATCTGCCAACTAACATAACATACTAATTACTAATATTGCCAATAAAAAAAACCCTGTTGATTTAGTTTCATAAATGTGTTTACAGTTTGATACATAATTTCCTTGTATGGCATGCAGAGGATATCTATTGGATATTTCTTGGCCTCAATATCAGAGATTTGGCTTGTGAACCATAATATTTCGGTTGACTCACCAGCAGCTTTTGTGAAGAAATACTTCATTCAGTGGTTAGTTCTGGAGGAGTGGTGTTTAATTCTTTCAAGGGACTATGCATGGCATTTGTGCTGTATGAGAAAATATAAATAACAATTCCATGTTTCTTTGTCATTTTCTTATATCAGTTTGTATAGAAAATGTAGATGAGTTGTTTTTGTAATAATTCTCATTACACATCAGCGAAGATTCTGTGACCTGAATCATGACGTGATGCATACTACTTTGGATTCTATTATGCTCTTAATTTTTTATTTTGACATTCTCATGAAACGGATGTTCTTGTCACATGTCATGGATCTTTTTAATATACAGTTTCACTATGCTGTATTTTAAGATGAAAACTTGATTAAGATATGTATTTTTCTCTTGATCAATCAGAATACGTTTCAATTTTTGTTGAGCTCTTGAGATGAAAATGTGACATCAATCACCATAACCTTAAAATTCAATATAAACTAATGTTGCAACTTGCAACTAAAGACTAGTTGCGATTCTTGATAAAATTTCCTTCATATTGACAGGCCAACTGCATAACCTTTAACCGAAGCTTGAATTTATCTTTTATAAACTTTTCAAGCTAACATGTTTGCAAAAATGAATAAATAAAAACAATTCTGGTTACTTCAATGATCCAAGGTACTGGCTCTCCACATCTAAGTGTCAAAATTAAACTTCTGTGGGAACTGTGTTTGCTTGCCTTATAATATTCTTTGGTGCTAACTGTTTGTTTCTTTATGCAGGATGTTTTCTATCCTTCTTTGCTCAGTGTACCTTTGCTTGCTCTACGGTCTCTATGTTCCGAATTGGAAATTCGAACATTCTAATTTGCTTTGGTCCAGTCGTCTATCAATTATTGAAAACGTGAGGGTTTTGTCACTGTTATTCAATGCTGAAGGACCTATCATGAATTTTTTACTGAAGTTTTTATTTATGATTTCTCGTGTACATAGCTGATGACTCATTCTTTACAGTAGATGAAGTCAACATGTAATTTGGTTGCTGCTGATATCCTTTGTATAATGTGTGTCAAATATATAATTTATACCCCTTCCCCTCTGATTCTGCTGAAAAAGCAACTATCTTATCAGCAACAGATCTACATTAGAGGGTTTGGGGGCTCTTGCCCCCATAGGATTTTTATTTTTCCTTAATATAATATATATAGATTGCTCCATAATTTAATAAGTTGTTAAAAAATTGTTTTATTATGAATATTGCCCCCAATAATTTAAATATGTGACAATGTGAGTATTGTCCCTACAATTTAAAATTTATGCATCCGTCATTGTTTCTTATATTAGGGATTTTGGTTGGGCTGTATCTTAATCCTTGTCAATCCTCGTGAGACCTGATTGCTTTCTTTACTTTTGATTTATTCCCTAGAGTAGATAAAGTCAACATGTAATTTGGGTTCTTTATTTCTGATAGTCAATCCTTCGTTGGTGGCAGCTGTCAACTCCCCTATAATTTAGAAACCCCTTCCCCTATTTTGCTGAAGAAGAATCCCTACAGTAGAGATATTAATTGGGCTCTATCTTGACCATTATTTATCCATATAGATTTTTTTGTGCATTTTGTTTAGAAATAGAATCGCATATTTAGTTTCCCCTCCTGTTTGTTAAAGAAGTTAATTAGTTAATAGGAACATTGTTTTGACTTGCAACATTTATAATTACATAGAGCTAAACTAAATGCAAGGAAAAACCTCATTATAACAAAATCTAATTGCTATAACACATCCTAGATTCTGAAATTCCTTTAGAAGTTGGAACTATTGAAATATTGACCAAACAAACTACCTTTGAAATTTGCTTACACTATCAAGTAGTTCTGTTACTTCTGTAGTGTTGGATGGCCTGTGAACTTTGGCTTTGTACTTCAAAATGTCACAAAGCATCTCTTTGACTAATCCATGGATCTTCACAGTTTAAAAATGGAACTTTAGGTTTGCATTTCATAAAATGATGAACCCTCATAGACTAGCATCAATACATCATGCTATGTAAATAGATTTGAGTGTACTAAATGGGTTGAGAAAATAATAATCTAAAGAGCAATAGTCATAGGAAAATATTAGAGAATAGGATACCAATGTATGCTGTGTCACATTATAATGATTGGCATTTCATTTCAATATTAATGCATTATGACGGCTTAGCTTTTTTTCTTCTTAATTCTGTTTTATTTTTTGACTCTCCCTACCTAGTGGGAAAAAACGTTTTGGTTGTTCTTTTTTATTTTATTTTTCATGGAGAAGAAGCTCAACTTACTATATTTGTTTGCAGGTTCATTGCGAAGTGAGGGGAAGTCTTGAACCTCCTTGTAATGCTGTGGGGTTTATTGATAGATTAATTCTTGGTAAAGATCATATATACCAGCGTCCTGTGTATAGAAGAACAGAGGTTATTTACCCTCTCGGATAACTCCTGTATTGAATCTACTGCCTCCTCAAATTTCATTTCATTTATTTTATCTTTTAAATGATCTTATTCTTTGACCATCTTTTCATTTTCAGGAGTGTAGTGTCAATTCTCCTGATTATGGACCCTTACCTCCTGGTTCACCTGGATGGTGCCTTGCACCATTTGATCCAGAGGGTATTCTAAGGTTGAAAGCATTTCCTGCTCCCTCCTTTTATTATTTCTTTTATAATATGATCATAGTGGCATTGAAAACTATGATTACATCTTATAATTTAGGCCGCCAATAATCAAGCTAATTGTTTTTTGGAGTTTTGCAAAATACTTGGTTTATGTTATGTTAGTATATTTTCACTGTTCTCTCATGTATGGGTATTTTTATCTGAGATTAGATAGGCATAGACAGCATTAAAATTTTATTGATGCAATGTTTGCTAATTCATTTTCTTAAATCTTTCAGTTCATTGATGGCTGCAATTACTTGTTTTATGGGATTGCAATATGGGCACATAATTGTACTTTTGCAGGTCTGTATTTGATTCTTTTATGATGTACAAGAATACAATCCTAGTGCCTTATGTGGAAGATTTAAAGTTTCTTTAGGATATGTATATTTTTTATGACTCAACTGCTGTCATCTCCATTCAGGGTCACAAACAGAGGGTACTTCTTTGGTCTGTGTTTTCCTTCTGTCTATTGCTAGTAGGATACATTCTGGAGATTTTAGGTACCATCTAATTTTAAATTTCTTAAGATTAATTGGTTCTTTTCTCTAACAACTGTGTAGTTTTTCAGGTATTCCTTTATCAAAAGCATTGTACACATTAAGTTACATGTTCATTTCTGCAGGAGCATCAGGCTTAGTCTTGACTGCTATCTATTACATTGTAAGATCATCCTTGTGTCTTGAGTAGAGATAATTTATCTGAGGGAAAAAAAGATAATAGGCAGATGATCATTCCCATGATGAGCAAAAGGTGGGTAGCTCATGTGGTTAATCACCTTGTCCCAAAGGACAAATATACATGTGTTTGGAGAGCCATAATTTGGGATCTCTCCATACAGCCCACACACAATACTTATCTAATGCACTCGTGTGGTCAACATGAACCATTTGTTAACTCCCCAACACAGCCAAAAAGATTAAAAAATAAATAAAAATAGTGTCATTCTGTTTTCAATAGTTGAGCTTGAGCTTAATTGTAAAACTAGTTAAATGGATAGTGATAGTTATGTACTGACAGAGTTCAGGCTGCAACTTCTCTTGGCAGTTCCAAACTCCAAAACTAACTACTCGAGCATGGCCTCAAGTTTGACAGTCCAAATAGAACATATAAGATTATATCAGTTATGTTGTTACTAATTTTGAATTTGTGATTGATCATTAATTATTTTCCTAGCTTTGTGCTTTACTATTATTGCTTGCAATATGAGTTGAAGTGAATATATATATATATATGAGGAGGGATCCGTTTATTCCAGGAGTAAGTCTATCTAGATTTACTTCGTTTAATAACTCGTGTTTTACATTAAATTTTAACAATTCAACCATTGAATTTAAAGTTCTTAATGCATATATCAAATTTGCAAATTTTTAAAAAAATTGAAAACAATTTGATACTTCGTTTTATTAATTCAAATTGACGAATAATCATAAAATTATTTTATACGTTGATCTGAATTAATGAAACGAAGTATCAAATGATTTTTAAATTTTTTAAAAATTTGCAGATTTGAATAAAATATTAAGAACTTTAAATGCAACAATTAAATCGTTAAAATTTAATGTAAAACACGAGTTATTTAACGGAATAAGTTTATATAGACTTACTCTTGTTGTAAACAAATCTCTCCTATATATATATATATATGAGGGGGTATATTACACCGATGTAACTTTTACTAAGTATTACACCGCTCAATAACTTTATATTAATTATGAATTTTGTAAATCCAACTGTTAGATTTACAAAATTTACATTTAATATAAAGTTATTGAGCAGTGTAACACTTAATAAAAGTTACACTGATGTAATTATAACCCTCTCTCTCTCTATATATATATAGAGGGGGTTATAATTCAAAGATATATATATATATATAATTGCACCCTCTCTCTAAATAGCTAGGACACCAAAAATAGAAACGAGTGTATGAATGTTATTCAATTCAAAAGAACTGAGCTGAACCTTTTACAAGGACGCATCGAGAGCCTCGGGCTCCTCAAAGAATGTTATTCTCATTTCTCTGTCACAAGCTTGACTTGTATTGCTTGTGCTATTTGCAATTGTTCAAGTGAATTTAATGACTGTAATCACCGGCAAATGTTTAAAAAAACTGCAACTTCATAAAACATATTTCCTTGCAGGTTGACATAGAGCAGCTCAGAAAGCCTACAATTTTACTGCAATGGATGGGAATGAATGCTCTTGTTGTATATGCATTGGCAGCTTGTGACATTTTCCCAGCAGTTATCCAGGGTTTCTATTGGCATTCTCCTGAAAATAATTTGGTAATGTTTGTTTCCATGGATTATGTGTATATCTTCTCTTTCATTATAAGTTATTTAAGCTGGAAATTTTTTTTCTTTGAAGATTAATTTTTTTACCAATAGGAGTTAACATTCCCCATCCTAGATTTGTTATGAACTCCTCTTTGGAGTTAGAATTAAACTGCTACGGCCCAGCTATATGGCCTTTGCCCAAATAATAGCTTAACTATTTGCCTTTTTCTTTGTGGAGGATATGTGGATTATACCTGTTTGAGTACCTGGAGAATTTCCTTCACACTTGCTTTTTACAACAAAAATGTGATAAGGCTGAAAATACAGTTCGACTCAAACTCATACATATATACCGCTTCACATATTTTGGCCACTGCAATGGTTAAAAGTGTTTTTCACCCTTACCAAGAAATAAAAAGTAAATATCAAAACTAATCAACTCCATTTTCATAAGTATATCCATAGTTTATTTTCATAGGGCCAGAGTGAAAACTGAAAGCTTACAAGTATTGGGTTATCATTATGTCTTCGGTACTTGAATTAGTTTTCTCTCCCCTTATATTCCTCTACTTTTTTTTCAAGGATTCCTAAATTTGTAACAACTTCATTTTTTTTGGCGGAGGGAGGCATTGATGTCACTGCAAAGACATTCTCATACTTGATTAGTAAATTTGGTTATTTGGTAATTTAATATGCAGGTTGACGCCAGTGAAGCTTTGATGCAAACCATATTGCATTCCGAAAAGTGGGGCACAATGGCCTTTGTAATAGTTGAAATTTTATTCTGGGGTCTTTTTGCCGGTTTCCTCCACAAGAAAGGGATATATATAAAATTGTAATGGATGATGCAATCATGCAAAAGAAGATGACGTGTACATGACTGTTCCTTGTAGATATCTTCCATTAGAAACTAGCCATGTTTTTTTTTTTTTTTTTTTTTTCCGTAAGTACATATCTTGTTGGTTATCTTTGTTGATTCTCCTATAGCCTGCCAAAGTTGTCTTTCTCAACTTTACCTTCGGAATGTTTGAAAATCATTTTCACTATTTGTGTCTTGAAAATCTTAAGGCGATTAGAATTCAGCATGGGACTGAATTTATGCTTAAATAAGAGTTTTGGATGTGACCGCAATATGGTTAAGTTTTTTTTTTTTTTCCAACACCCGAGATTGTTACATCTATTTGCTATTAGAGTTAATGTACAGATGACGAGGGGTTCCTCTTCGGGTGCGTGGTGACAAATTCATTAAAACAAATTCAAGTGTTATGCTTAGATTTTTCATAAATGAACCCAGAGTGAGGTTCAAGTTATACGAAAGTGGGTCGGGAGTTGGATAACATTTTTTCTGCATCAAGCAATCTGTTCTCTCTTTGAATCTTGTCATTCGCTTTAACCCAAAAATATGCCCAAGGTGGAGACAGTACAACAAAGCCTATATGAAAAATATTTGTCTAGAAAAATTAGTAGATTTTAGCATACTGAGAATGTGTGTTATATTTATATCAACATGTTATATTTTGTTAATTTTTATCGGTTTAGGATTTTTCTTTTAATTATTACCTAAAAGACTTCTTAATGAAGTATGTATGTTTTATAAATTGTTATTTATTTTTTTATTTTATCAAAGTGAGATATTACTTATATTCCAACAATCTTTTAAAAAATAAGGGACTAACATCTCATTTAGTAGAATCTGTCTTTGTATATTATTATATCACTTATTTTGTCATAATTTATTGTTACTTTTTGTTATAACTTATTGGTTGTTATTAAATCTAACTTACGACTTTAATATCACTGATAAGGTTACTTTTTTTTGTTCGTCCCTGGAGTATCTACGACTGATAGCAGTGACTAATCCCCTCTCTACATTAGAGGCACTTCAAATGGTGGGATAACTGGTCCTAAGATTTAACGCGGTTGCTTACACAAGGTAGGATTCGAACCCCTAACCTTGCTTAAGCGTGGAACTGATGAGGTTACTTTGTAACTTATTGTCACTTTTTTGTTATAATTTATTACTTGTCATCGAATTTAACCTACGATTTTAATATCATTGATAATGTTATTCTGTCGGGTATTTGTATGAGAGGATATTTATATCAATAGGAGAATTATAATTTTGTTATTTTTCAAAAGGTTATTTCACACACAACACAATAGCGAAATATTGTTCGCTTTGGATCTAATTCCTCAAGATTTTATTTTTTGTTATCATCCAAAAAAACCTTTCAACCATTAGAATATGTGTATGTTTTATAAATTTTTTTTTCTTTTCTTGTTCTATCAATGTGGAACCTTATTTGACACATCATAAAAAAAACACACGCGGTTTAAAAGTCACACCATATAAAAACACGCACACACCATATAAACACACACACATTGTTCATAATCATATAAAATTATGTTGTATAAATAAAAACCGATACCATATAAAAAGGATAATCTATTGAAAGTGACTGGAATATTTTGGTACTATACACTAGATTTTAGATTTTAATTCTATTATTATCAATGTATGCAAATAAGAGAAATAAAAAAGAAAAAAAATCCAATTGTTTTATCCATATTTTTAAGTGGAGATAAGAATAAGAAGAGAGAAAATACTATTTTCTTCTATTAAAGGACAAGAATAGCCTTAAAATTTTTAAAAAAATCAAATAAAAAAATGAAACAGGCATAATTAGAATAAAATAAAAAAGTTAGAGTTCACCCTAATTTTCTTTCATATTTAAAGAGAAATAAATTTATGAGTTCACCTTATTTTAATCACTTATCACTTTTTTGTGCATTCAAACAATAAGAGTTTTAAAAACTTTCTGAAATCTTTGTATCTATATTCTTTCTTAATAATGTCGTGAGGGTTAAAGAATACGTAAGTTAATATAATAATATATACTTTGGACTTGTAAGAGCGTTATACTTGCTCAAATATGATGACCCAATCTAGTTTTTTTTAAGAAAAAAAGTCATTCAATAATCACTCAAAATCATTAATACAAACCATTTTAATGTGGAAAAAATTTGTTTTGAGAAATCACCATCGTAGCAAAATAAGTATTTAATAATATGTTTAGTTCTACATCAATATGCAAATTTTCATGTTCATTTAGAAGCCAATTGTTATATAGCTTTCATGTCCTAAATGCGATTTTCTTACTTCTCAACGTATTTTCAAACACACTAAGTACACACTTCTAATTTGCGATCGGTTGAATATGATTTTATAACTAAAGTTCTAACTTAGTCTCTTTTGAATCATATAATTATACATCACTGAATTCTCCCATGTAGAAAGAAGAAGAAAAAAAGAGGCCTAATAAAAAGAAAGAAAGAAAAGCAATCCAATCTTGTCTGCTGTTCTGTGTGCTACGAAATTAAATTGGGAACTTTCCGCATAAAAGTAGCATGTTCATATTTGGTAATTGGTATGAATATAAACTAGTCTTACAATTACAAGTATTAAAGAGCTCCCTAAAGTATTAGTTCTGTCTCTTTCTTTTGGCATCTTAAACTCTGGCCTTGTCGTTCCCAAAAAGTAAATAATCTCATCTAAGAAACAATGAATTAACTTGCCCCAATAATTTTGTTCCTGGTTTCTTCTTTTCCAAACTATATATAAGGTAATGTCATCCACCAGCTTCCCTCCACAAAGCTCCACTTCCTGTCTTATTCATTATCCACAAAACAGGAAAAATAAATGTCTACTGAGAAAAGCAATGCTGACATTTCAGTCGATTCTATTCAGTCATCATCGAGTGTAAAAAATGTTGAAAAATGGCACTTTGGAAGAGCACTTGCATACAGAGCAGTTTACGGTTCTAATGGTTCTCAAGGCAGAAAAGCCAGAGGTAATGCCGCCAAGATATCACCAAGCAGGCTCAGCAAGGTCTCAGTGGCGACTGATAACACACAAGATTCTTAACTAGCTTCAAAATAATCTTCTATGTATGTTCTTTTCTTGTTTTTCTTTTTCTTCTTTTTGGTAATTATGGTATCGGTGAAGTATCCATTGCTAAAACTAATGACTAATCTTTATGAATAATTGTGAATGTAGACTATATGAGATGAGTATTCTTAATATAACAGTCTATTTCATATACAAAATCAAATTTAAAATTAAAACTCTGAACAATTTGGTTAAATAATACAAAATAACTATTATTTGTGCCATATGTATGCATGTACCCTTTCACTTGAAGATGGATGGTGATGTATTAGCGTACATTCTGTTCCATTAATTACAAGTGAGCTCCTTTATTTATAAGTAGTTTGTAGGACAGAAACTGCAACTTGTGTGATGCATTATGATTCTGATATCCTGTTGCACATAGCAGAAATATATCTTCACATTATAATGTCCAAGTGTATGTTTGGATCTCAGCTCAAAAGTACTTTTATTTCCAAAGAAACGAATTGTTCCCTCTTCATCTTGTGTCTTGAAATTCGGAAATATATATAATGAAATGCTCAAGAGCACATTCCTAGCTTTTATTTAAAAGTCTCTAAGATGCATCGCAATGTTACTCAAGGTAATTAAAATAGAACCATGTATTTTGTTCCCATTTGCTTTGCAGCAAGACCAAGTGCTGAATGAATGGAAGCTTCAACATGATTAGACTTGATAAAGTTCTAGGCTAAGATGCTCTAGCAAGAGTAAATTCATCGATTGATTATTTTCTCTTGAAAAACTTTTTCCCGTAAAATGTAACAATCTATGCAGAGTTCACTAAGCTTTCTGCGAGTCAGTGATCGTAATGAGAAAATGTCACGTTATCCGTCCAACTTGTAATAGATATCGTTTATTAATTGATCATCAATGCCATCAAATTGAAACTCGTTAGTTGATCTATACATCACATTATTGCAACATTATTGAGTGAGTGGTTACCATAAATTAAACGAAGAGGCAAAATGATAAAGAGTTTATCTTTGTCAGCTCCAGCCGAATGCAGAAATCTATTACATGGCCTTTCTAAATTACAATCTAAAGATGTTTCGTTAGATTTGTTAAACTCGGGTTGAGATTTATTCAAATTCCAACTTAATGAAACTAGGAATGAATTCATTTTTCTCTTGTCCAACCTGTTGTGCACCAAGAATTACTACACACATACACACATATTTCCATGTTGGTAAGATATTGTTCATTTTGAGCCCTGCCTTCCCGGTTTAATAGATATCGTTTATTAATTGATCATCAATGCCATCAAATTGAAACTCGTTAGTTGATCTATACATCACATTATTGCAACATTATTGAGTGAGTGGTTACCATAAATTAAACGAAGAGGCAAAATGATAAAGAGTTTATCTTTGTCAGCTCCAGCCGAATGCAGAAATCTATTACATGGCCTTTCTAAATTACAATCTAAAGATGTTTCGTTAGATTTGTTAAACTCGAGTTGAGATTTATTCAAATTCCAACTTAATGAAACTAGGAATGAATTCATTTTTCTCTTGTCCAACGTGTTGTGTACTGAGGATTACTACACACATACACACATGTTTCCATGTTAGTAAGATATTGAGCTCTGCCTTCCCGGTTTTACTTTTGGATACCACTCAAAAGGTCTCTACACCAATAGAAACAATTATGTGTATATAAATCTATGTCCATCCTCTTATTTAAATGATGTGGGACTTTGCTTACATTCCAACACAGTAAAACTAAAACGAGTTCAAAATCTTAATATATATAAAGCGAAGGAGTTCTCCAAGGGAAATTTTCTGCTTAAAAAATGAGTTGTCCCAACAATTAAGCTTTTATTTATTGCATTAACTTGGAATGCAAAACTTATTGGGTGCTTAACAAGACTTTGTCCCTTTCACTTCTCTCTCATTTCTCGTCCATTAAGTTTTTATGGTACCATAATACAAAATCAAGACTTCACCCTTTTCCACTATCCCTTTCATTTTCCAGCATTAAGATTTTATTGTAGTTTAGAAAATAAAAAAAGTTACAGTAAATTGAATGGGAAACAACAATATATGATGGATGTTAACCACTTCCAAATAATTTCTTATTAAAAAGAAAGGTTTA